AAAGGAAAATAAAATAAAAAATAAAAAAAAAATTAAGCAAAGCTGCATTTCTACCAAAGGGTGGTTCAACAGTCCTGGTGCTGAGCTGCCAAAATCTGCTCCTTCCTCCTCTAAAGGCAAGTCTGGATCCAGTGTAATTCGCTGCCCATCAGTGATTTTGGGGGTAACGCCCTGGCTGAGGGGGGGAGCACCCCGGGGGGGGCACCGGTTGTGCTTTTTTCAGCTGGAGGCACGGTGGGAGGCAGCAGAGCCAGGACCCCCAAAATCCCAGGGGGAGGTGGGGAGGGAGTTCTGCTGGGACCCCCAAAATCCCAGGGGATGGTGGGGAGGGGGGGTTCCACCAGGACCCCCAAAATCCCTGGAAGGTGATGGGGAGGGAGGTCTGCTGGGACCCCCAAAATCCCAGGGGATAATGGTGAGGGGGTTTGCACCAGCACCCCCAAAATCCCAGAGGATGGTGGGGAGGGAGTTTGCACCAGGACCCCCAAAATCCCAAGGGGGTGGTGGAGAGGGGGGCTCTGCCAGGACCCCCAAAATCCTAGGGTTGGTGGGAAGGGGGGTCTCCACCTGCCCCCGGCTCACCTGGAAGACTCTGGATGGGGAGCGAGGGGCTGGGGAGGGGGGCACTGGGGGGGCTGCTGATAAATCCCCCCCCATCCCTGAAAGGCGAGGGGTTTTGGGGGGGGTGTCTGGGGGCTCAAGGAGCCTCCAAAGGTTCAGGCTGGGACCCGACGGCCGATGTTGGGATTAAAATCATCCCAAGAGCAGCCGGGACCCACCAAAAGCAAAGCCCAACGGGCACCCCCCATCCTACCAGCAGAAGGAAGATCCTTCCTTTTCCAAAATCAGTGGTTTTCTCCCCAAAATGCCCCCAGGCAAGACCTCAGCCCCAACCAGCATGGCCGGGACACGTCTCCCTGCACCCACATGCTCCTCCAGGCACATGCACGGTGACACGGGTCCCTCCTAAAAACACTTTTAGGGTTAAAAACACTTTTAGGGTTATAAAACTGGCCAGATATGTGAGTGCCAGAACCCCGAGATCCCTCTCACACGAGGGGCTGAGCTCCTTCCCACCCAAACCAAGCTAAGGATGACTTTTTTCCCCCCTTTTTAGCCCCAAGAAGGTCGATGCCCAGCCAAAAACTTCCACGTGAGAAAATGGTCCTGGTTTATCTGAATTTCCCGCTGCAGGAGGGAACCAGGTCCTTTCCCCCCCTCAAAAGGGGGAAGAGGAGCAGGTCCTACCAACCCCCCACGCTGGGCTGAGGGCTGCACCCATCCTGCTGAAAAAACACCATCTCCAGCCAAAAAAAAGAAGAAAAAAAAGAGCTTTTCCACGTGTCCTTTCTCGCTTTGGCAGTTTTTATGCTCCGTTTCACTGTTCCTCCGCCTCCGGTGGCCGATGGAGGGAGGAGGACACTCTGCAGAATTCAAGGTTGGATAAAGGAGGCTATAAAATTATTATTTTTTTTCCTAAATCAGCAGGATGAGAGCAACCTCCAGAACCAACCTGAAGTACCATTCCAGGCAGGACACAACCATGAGGTGTCCCCTCCCCAAACAGGGATTCAATGGCAGAACAGGACAGAGCCACCTCTTTGAGACCTCACCCGTGTCCACCAAGACCATCCCCCCCCTCCTCCAGCCTGGAAATAAAATCTCTGGACCTTTTCCGTGCCCAAAGAGCAGATCAAGTCCTTCCCTTCCACTGAGATGAAAAGGAACTCTAGGAATAGCTTTATTTTTATGGGATTTCAAGGGAAGGCTGTAACTACAGTTAACCTTGGGATCTCATCCAGCCCTACTGGCCCCAGGCTGCTCCCCTGCTCCTGGAGAGGTGGAGCTGGAGCTCGGGAAGGCTGAGGAACATCTGCCACCTCCATGGCAGAGCTGTCCCCACCACTCCCCTGGGACAGATCGACAGCAGGGTCTCCTGCAGCTACAGGTGACACCAAAACACACCAGCAGGACAGGCTGGTGTCACACCATCCCCTCCCCAATACCTCAGAGAACATCTTCTCCCTCATTTCAGCTGCTGCAGACAGACCCCAAACCTGGCTGAAGGCTTCATTTGGGGAGGGGGGGGCTGCCCCCACCACGCACAGGGTTCAAGTAACAGCAGAAGCACCAGCAGGTTGGTGGGAGAAACCCTCCCGAGGGCAGGGACAGCCAACCAAAGTCATCTAATTCAAGTATTGTCCCTAAAGTCTGGCTGCTGCTTCAACAGCTCGGAATGCCACAGAGCCTCCCCCCATCCTCCTCCTCCTCCTGGGGAGCTGGGGGGGGACACAGGGGATGGAAAGGAGCAGGACAGACCCTCCCAACCCACCACAGAGCAGGGTTGTGCGTTTTCACCCCAGGGAAGCCCAGCACGGGGGCAGGATGGGCTCTGCACCCATCCCCAGCACCCCCTTCCCCTGGTGGGCTCCCCCTTCCCAGTCTAACCCACCTCTCTCCATCCCAAACTGGGAAGGAAGGAGTGAAGATGCTGCTATTGCCACGATGCTGGGGAGAGGACCGGCTTCTCCCTGGCTCTGGCAAGGGGAAACTCACAGCTCCCCCATTCCACACATCCCACAGGTCATCACTCATCCCCACACCACCAAATCCTCGCCTCCGGGGTCTTCTTCTGGAGAGAAGCTTGAGAAGAGACACCGTTCCTGGTTGGACACTCGGGGCATCAGCCCAGGCTTGGCTCCAGGGAAGATTCCCCTTTCCAGTGTGTGGATAAGTTGGAAGATATAAATCCTCAGCAGGTGGAGATGTTCCAGTGTCACCTGTACCAGTACAGATGGCTTTTGTCCCCCTCTCCCCAACATTTGCTCCCCGGGCTGTGCGTTTCTCATGGAAGCAGTTTAATTTATTTGCAGGCTCCGCTGATAACCTGGTGCCCGAGGTCCATGGCCGAGGGGAGGGGACGTGGAGGGACAAACGCCGGTCCCCACACGGAGGGGACAGGGCCAGGGCAGCCTGTCCCCTGCACTCGAGGAGCTCCAGTGTCCCCAGGGGTGAGGAGATGCTGATGGGGCAGCTCCTCCATCCAGACAACGCAAAGTCAGTAGCAATTAGTGTCCCATGAGGTATTTCTACAGACTTTTGAAGCTTAGTTATTAAGTTTTGCCAGAACCCCCAGATCCTCTGGCACGAGGGCCTGAGGTCCTTCCCACCCAAACCAAGCTAAGGATGACTTTTTCCCCCCTTTTTAGCCCCAAGAAGGTCGATGCCCAGCCAAAAACTTCCACGTGAGAAAATGGTCCTGGTTTATCTGAATTTCCCGCTGCAGGAGGGAACCAGGTCCTTTCCCCCCCTCAAAAGGGGGAAGAGGAGCAGGTCCTACCAACCCCCCACGCTGGGCTGAGGGCTGCACCCATCCTGCTGAAAAAACACCATCTCCAGCCAAAAAAAAGAAGAAAAAAAAGAGCTTTTCCACGTGTCCTTTCTCGCTTTGGCAGTTTTTATGCTCCGTTTCACTGTTCCTCCGCCTCCGGTGGCCGATGGAGGGAGGAGGACACTCTGCAGAATTCAAGGTTGGATAAAGGAGGCTATAAAATTATTATTTTTTTTCCTAAATCAGCAGGATGAGAGCAACCTCCAGAACCAACCTGAAGTACCATTCCAGGCAGGACACAACCATGAGGTGTCCCCTCCCCAAACAGGGATTCAATGGCAGAACAGGACGGAGCCACCTCTTTGAGACCTCACCCGTGTCCACCAAGACCATCCCCCCCCTCCTCCAGCCTGGAAATAAAATCTCTGGACCTTTTCCGTGCCCAAAGAGCAGATCAAGTCCTTCCCTTCCACCGAGATGTAAAGGAACTCTAGGAATAGCTTTATTTTTATGGGATTTCAAGGGAAGGCTGTAACTACAGTTAACCTTGGGATCTCATCCAGCCCTACTGGCCCCAGGCTGCTCCCCTGCTCCTGGAGAGGTGGAGCTGGAGCTCGGGAAGGCTGAGGAACATCTGCCACCTCCATGGCAGAGCTGTCCCCACCACTCCCCTGGGACAGATCGACAGCAGGGTCTCCTGCAGCTACAGGTGACACCAAAACACACCAGCAGGACAGGCTGGTGTCACACCATCCCCTCCCCAACACCTCAGAGAACATCTGCTCCCTCATTTCAGCTGCTGCAGACAGACCCCAAACCTGGCTGAAGGCTTCATTTGGGGAGGGGGGGGCTGCCCCCACCACGCACAGGGTTCAAGTAACAGCAGAAGCACCAGCAGGTTGGTGGGAGAAACCCTCCCGAGGGCAGGGACAGCCAACCAAAGTCATCTAATTCAAGTATTGTCCCTAAAGTCTGGCTGCTGCTTCAACAGCTCTGAATGCCACAGAGCCTCCCCCCATCCTCCTCCTCCTCCTGGGGAGCTGGGGGGGGACACAGGGGATGGAAAGGAGCAGGACAGACCCTCCCAACCCACCACAGAGCAGGGTTGTGCGTTTTCACCCCAGGGAAGCCCAGCACGGGGGCAGGATGGGCTCTGCACCCATCCCCAGCACCCCCTTCCCCTGGTGGGCTCCCCCTTCCCAGTCTAACCCACCTCTCTCCATCCCAAACTGGGAAGGAAGGAGTGAAGATGCTGCTATTGCCACGATGCTGGGGAGAGGACCGGCTTCTCCCTGGCTCTGGCAAGGGGAAACTCACAGCTCCCCCATTCCACACATCCCACAGGTCATCACTCATCCCCACACCACCAAATCCTCGCCTCCGGGGTCTTCTTCTGGAGAGAAGCTTGAGAAGAGACACCGTTCCTGGTTGGACACTCGGGGCATCAGACCAGGCTTGGCTCCAGGGAAGATTCCCCTTTCCAGTGTGTGGATAAGTTGGAAGATATAAATCCTCAGCAGGCGGAGAGCCAGGATGTGAGGGGATGTTCCAGTGTCACCTGTACCAGTACAGATGGCTTTTGTCCCCCTCTCCCCAACATTTGCTCCCCGGGCTGTGCGTTTCTCATGGAAGCAGTTTAATTTATTTGCAGGCTCCGCTGATAACCTGGTGCCCGAGGTCCATGGCCGAGGGGAGGGGACGTGGAGGGACAAACGCCGGTCCCCACACGGAGGGGACAGGGCCAGGGCAGCCTGTCCCCTGCACTCGAGGAGCTCCAGTGTCCCCAGGGGTGAGGAGATGCTGATGGGGCAGCTCCTCCATCCAGACAACGCAAAGTCAGTAGCAATTAGTGTCCCATGAGGTATTTCTACAGACTTTTGAAGCTTAGTTATTAAGTTTCACTTGGAAGCCAAATCCTTTTTTTTTTTAAAAAATAAAAAACAAACCCTCCTTCTTCTCCAGGACCAAAGCTGAGGCCCCCAGTGATGGGGAACAGGGTTAGGGTAGGATTCATTAGCACCCTTCGGAGCATCGCTTGGCAGAGGCAGAAAATCAGAGGTTTTTTTCCAGGCTGCTTCAAGATCCTGCAGGAGTGTGACCAATTGAGGGGCACAGATCATTCTGCAGGGCAGGATCAGAGTCCCAGCAGCTCCTGAGCCAGGGCAGGCAGGTCTCAGGGGACAGATCTCCCATCTGGGGACTCGGATCACACACAGCATTGTGTTTTTCATACCACATTTGCAGGACGGAGCGTTTCCTCCACCCGGGCTGAGAGCACAGGAACATTCACTTGGTTAAATCCAGGAGGAAAGATGCTTCTCCGGACGTCTCAGCATCACTTTGGGCAAATTTTCAACTTCTCCATGAAATGCAAACTCTTTGCTGCAGCAGAGGAAAGAGCAGACCAGGATTTGAAGGGGTGGGTTTGGGGTATTTCAGCCAGTGCCAAGCCCAGAAACACAGTGAGAGCCACCACCTCTCTTGGCTTTACCATTTCCAAACTGCTGGTGGTTCCATGGACGTGCCAGGAAGGGGAGGAAGCAGCAAGGAAGCTCCAAGAGATGAGATGCTGTTCCAGAAGAACCCTCAGTTATCCATTTCTTGCTCCAAGACACCCCAAAGATGCCTTTTAATGCCCCAACGACTCCCGGTGAGGATCCTTCACAGCTCTAGAGGAAACCACTTCATTCACAGCTTCTGGACGCAGCCAGAGAAGGGCTAAAAGTGCACGTCCCACGGGACTGAGATGAGGGCAGCAAGTACCTTTGGTCCATGGATGGCTGTGACAGTCACAGCAACGGCTTGGCCACCCTCCTTCCACTCATCACAGGGGCTCAGCGACATCTTCCAGTGTTTGATAAGGGAAAAACACCTCCTCAGAGGAGCAGCCCTGGCTCCCCCGTCCAGCAGGAACCATTCCCTTTGGCAGAAAGCTCCAGGACATCCCAATTCCTTCCTTGGACCCAACTTAAACATCACACAGGACCACCCTGCAAATCCAGTTGCAGAAGCTCAGCTGCCCAAGACGAGGTTCAGCTCCTCTTCTCCCAGATCCTAGAGAACAGGGCAGCTGCCTTCAGGGCTCCGTGTTCCCAGGGATTATTCCAAGGAGCCACATGGGATTCGGGCTCGGGCTGCCCCCGAGCAGCTCCCCAGCTCCATCCCCTCCTGGTGAGGGCCAAAGAAGAGTCTGGCCATAACACCTGGAGCAGATGATCTTCCAAGAGAGTCCCCTTCTCTCTCTCTTTCTCTCTCCCTACCTGGAGCTTTTCCAAGGGAGGGCATAATAAAATTCAGCTGATGATAAGACAGGATTTCTCATGCCGAAAACAAACCAAAACGAACCAAAAAAAAATATTAAAAATTAAAAAAAAAAAACACGACATCAAAAAAAATAAAACTTTCAAAAAATTGTAAATAGTGCCATGACATTCTTTGTTCCGCACGGAGTCCGAGCCGGGCTCAGCTGCCTCCCAGAGCCCTCTCCCTGGGGCAGGAGCCCAGGCTCTGGTTCCCGTCCCGCTGTGCTTCTCCGGAGTCTTGAACCCTCTTTTTCTCTGTACAAAAAAGAGCTTGAGAGAGCAGAAGCGGCAGCGCAGAGGAACCAGCTTCGCCCTCGGCCGCCTCCTTCCCACCACAGCCCGACTCCGGCTACAGGATGGCGACAACCCAATTCCTAACGGGGAAGAGAGAAGGGAGAGGGATCAAAAATCCCGCTGGATCTGCCCCCGCTTCGGCACCAGAGCTCGTGTGGGCACAAACGTGCAGGAGAAAGCAGCAGGAGCCTCGTTCCCCTCCCTGAAACCAGCCAGGCAGTGGGGAAAGACCACGGAGTGAACAACCATGACCTGAAACCAGCCAGGCAGTGGGGAAAGACCATGGAGTGGACAACCACGACTGTCATGGCTGGAGAACTCGATGATCCTCAAGGTCCCTTCCAACTCTAACCTGAGGAGAAGGACTTGGGGGTGCTCATGGATGAGAAGCTCCACACGAGCCTGCACCTGAGGAGAAGGACTTGGGGGTGCTCGTGGATGAGAAGCTCCACACGAGCCGGCAACACGCGCTGGCAGCCCAGAGACCCAACCCCATCCTGGGCTGCATCAAGAGAAGCGTGGCCACCAGGGCGAGGTTGCATCAAGAGAAGCGTGGCCACCAGGGTGAGGGGGGGACTGTACCCTCTGCTCCCCTCTGGGGAGACACCATCTGGAGCTCTGTGTCCAGTTTTGGGGTCCTCAACACAAGAAGGACATGGAGCTGTTGGATGGGGCCAGAGGAGGCTTCAGAGATGCTGGGAGGGCTGGAGCCCCTCTGCTGGGGGAGAGGGTGCTGAGAGAGTTGGGGGGTTCAGCCTGGAGAAGAGAAGGCTCCAGGGAGACCTTAGAGCCCCTTCCAGTATCTGAAGGGGCTCCAGGAGAGATGGGGAGGGACTCTGGATCAGGGAGGGGAGCCAGAGGAGGAGGGGGAAGGGTTTGACACAGAAAGAGCTGAGCTGTGGGGAAGAACTTGTTTGGTGTGAGGGTGGTGAGAGCCTGGCCCAGGTTGCCCAGAGAAGCTGTGGCTGCTCCATCCCTGGAGGGGTTCAAGGGCAGGTTGGAGGGGGCTTGGAGCAACCTGGTCTGGTGGGAGGTGTCCCTGCCCAGGGCAGGGGGTTGGAACTCGATGATCCTTAAGGTCCCTTCCAACTCTGACCATTCTGTGATTCTATGACTTCTCCAGGAGGGTTTTGTGGGGTTTTTTTTTGCAATCAGAGGGAACAGAGTGATTTGGGTTGGACCCCCCCGGGATGGCACACGGAGCAGAAGCACCATCAGCACCCACCTACCACCACGTACCATCAGCGACAGCAACAAGGCGGGCGCAGCAGCCTCGCTACGTGGAGGGTTCGGTCTCCTGCTTCTGTTTGGAGATGAGCTGAGCTTCCTTCAGCGACAGATACACCTCCTCCTGCGGGTCGTAGTAGTAGAACTTGCGGATGTAGGAGATCAGGGGCCTGGGGGAGGCAGGGGAAGAAGTTTTAACCCTGAGGAGCCACCACCACATCATCCTCCACGAAGGGTAAACCAGAACCTCTCCCTCCCCAACCCACCTCCAGGCTGTGGCACCAGTAACACCTGAGCTGGTCACCACTCTCTACACCCCACAGGACATTTATCCTGCTGTCCCACGGCTGAGAAAGTCAACTACACCCTCCCAGAGCCCTCGCTGCAGAGAGAGGTGTCTCCTCATTGCCTCCTGCAGCAAGGGTGGAGGAGGAAACTGGAGGGACTGGTCCCTGGGACTCACTTGGGCAGCGGGAGCTCGGGGATGTGGTCGATTCGGACCAACTGCCTGATCCGAAAGCGGCAAAGGTGCTGGAGGGATTTGACATTGCTGAACCTGGAGACTGGATACAGGAGCTGGACAGGCGTCGGAGGGAGACCTTTGGGGAGAAAAGAGAAAAAAAAAAAAAGAAGCAATATTGGAGACAAGCATTATATAGACAGGAACCACTATTGATTCGGGAAGGAATCCCACGGCTTCAGAGTCACTTGGGGCTGAGGAGCCAAACCTTCCAGCCAAATCTACTCTTTTGGCTGGAAAACATCTCCAGCCTCTCCAAAAAGGCAACCCCAGTCCTGGTATGAGGGGGTGGCTGTGGAAAAGCAGACCCAAGGCCACCACAAGCTCCGAACTGCCCCGTTTCCCCAGGGCTAGGAGAAGAAGCATCGCTTTATACTGAGAAGCACCAGGGTTTGGAAAAGACAGAGAAGAAAGTCAAAGCAGAAGGGGAGCAGCACGACCAGGCACGTAGGCTTTGCCTGGAGGAACCCTCCGGGGGGGTCTAGCGAGGCGTTAAGAAGCTGAGGGATTGGGTCAGCTCAAGCTGTGCCAGAGTGGCTCATTCCTGGGGTCACGAGGCAGAGGCACAAAGGCAGAGGAGGCGGCAGCTTCGCTCCAGCCACCTCCCCACGCAGGGAACGAAAAGAGAGTCGCATCCAGCCCCACAACCTCCTCCTCCTCCCCCAAAGTTAAGGGCAACAATCGAGCCCGCAGGACCGAGGGGTGGGGGGGATCTCCAGGAGCCGGGTTCGTTGGCAGCACAAGGTTTTTATCTGTCTTTACAGAAGGATTCAAAGCTCGTTACACTCTAACCCCCTCCCGCTGCCTCATCTCTGAAGGCAACGGAGTGAAAAGAGAAAAGGCAAAGCTCTTCACACTAAGATGGGCTCAAAACTGCTCTGGGCAGCTCGGGAAGCTGCGAGCCAGCTTTTGAGAAAGCAAAGAACAGCCATCCATTGAAGGCTGGATTCTCTCTCTCTCTCTCTCTCTCTGTCCCCCCTCCCCAACCCTCCGCCTCCTCCTTCCTTATTCTCTCTCCTACCGAAAAGGAATCAGCCTCTGGGAGCCCAGCCAGAGACCACAGGGACCAGCACGAGCCCCACAAGCCACCCTGGCCACATGCCCCACTGCCAGGAGCCAGATGAGAGCTGGAAACAGCCCCCTCCTCTGAGCAGCACTTAACATTTCAGTGGGAGAACAGCACTAACGAGCACACTGGGGAGATGCAGATCCTAAATCTTCTCCCACTACAAAAAAAAATAATATATACATCAGGCATCAGTGTGAGACTTTGTTTTTCAAGGATCAAGGCTCAAATCAGTGCCTACATCCAACGCTGGCTGCAGATGGAGCGGTGCAGGACCTGGGGGGGACAACAAGGGATCCCTCAGCAGGTGCACAGCGCTCTTTTTGGGGGGATATTTTCCTTTTTCAATGATATTTTTCCAGAGCAAGTCCTTTCTAAGGTATTTGCCTGGAGTCCTAAGCCCTCAAAGCCCTGTTCTCGAGGGGAAAAGATCTCAGGATTAGGAAGGTAAATCATCTTTAAGTGGAAATGATTTCGTGAAGGCTGGGTCCGTTGTGAAACCAGCTTCACAGCCCTCCCCTCCCTCCCCAGTAAATCAGTTTTCCAGTTATTGGTGGTGTCTGCAGCAGAGGGCAACACTGAACACAGCTGGGCTGTGGCTCCACGTCCCATCTCCTCCCCTCCAGCCTCTTCTACACCAGGAACAATTTGGGGCAAATCCTCCCCATGCCCCAGTGCCACCGTCCCCATCAGGACCTGTAGGTGTCACAGCAATAGGGACAAGGAGCAAATTTTGCTCTAAATTTCACTCTAATTTCACTTGCAGCAATCCTGAGGCTCCTCTCGCTCCTCTCACCTCGGCAGCATTCCCATTCCTGCTCTGGTTGGTTCAAAGCATCACTGCTCACCTCACACACCCCCCTCCAAATTCTGTCCCCCCACTGTTGCTGTCTCACAAATAAGGGTGTATTTGCCTCTTTGGGAGGCTCCTCCCTCCCTTTCACACTGGATTTTTTGGCTAGCTTTCCAGTATACCAGGACGTTGGTTCAAAGCATCACTGCTCACCTCACACACCCCCCTCCAAATTCTGTCCCCCCACTGTTGCTGTCTCACAAATAAGGGTGTATTTGCCTCTTTGGGAGGCTCCTCCCTCCCTTTCACACTGGATTTTTTGGCCAGCTTTCCGGTACACCAGGGCAGATGAGGGAAAACCAGAAAAAAAATAAGAATATAGAAGACACTGGTCCTGTTGCCTGCCCAGATTTAAGGAATTTAAGTTTGTTTTTTAATTCCTTCAATTAATTTAAGGAATTAAGAGGTTGAGGGATGGGGAAACGAGCTCTCTGCAATCAAACATGCTTCAACAAAACCTCCCTGACGCTCCCTCCTCGGCTTGCAAGCACCTGCCTGTGGATGGGCTCTGGCATCGCAGGGGGACTGGGAATCTCCAGGATCTCTGGCTGGAGGCTCACACTTGGAAACACTCCCACAGGCTCAGCTGAACATCTCCCCCCTCCACAGCCCCCAGTGGGTCCTGGCTCAAGGGAGAACTGGGAAACTACAAAGCACGGAGCGGTTCCAAGAGCAGCACTGAGACAGGGGGAGGGAAGAAAGCGGAGTTTTAGCAGCCAAATAATTGCTCGTTGAGGGAGCAGCTTTCTAGTCCCCAGCTCTGTCACAGCGTGAGATGGCACCAGCCTGGAAAGAAGGGTTTGGGAAGTCTTTTTGTCACCATGAGCGAACGCTGCGGCTGCCGAGGGAGAGATCTGCTCCTCAGAATCCTTCTGGGAAGTCAGTGGGCAAGGACACCGACCAAATCCACATCAAACTGTCTCCCCGGGACACACCAGCAGCTGATGGCAAAGCAAAACCATCTCCCAGATTCCCAGCAGGAGACTCACCTGGAACCCTGGATCGGAGGAAGTAAAGGAACTTCCCGTTTTTGGAGTGCATGATGGCTCTCTTGATGAACTCCACCACAGACTGGCAGCGGTCCTCAAACTTGGGATGGCACCACAGGCTGAAGGTCCCTTCCGAGAGAACAGAAGAGGTTTCACGTTAGAGGAGCACTGGTGGCAAGAGGAGACAATTTGGGCACGAGTCTGATGTTCTCGAAGACCAGGCAGGGCACTAAAAGGAAACACCAGTGGCACCAGCTTGCAAGGATGCTGCTCCACTGGAACCAGTGCCCTCCAAGAGCTGAGGATACACAGAAAGACACAACAACGTGACCACCGTAACTCAAGAGTGGCCACAAGTCACCCTTGCCTGAACTTGTGAACAGCCTGCAACGATTTCTAGGTCTAAAAACTTAAATTATCAAAGCAAGGAGCATTAGCAGATACCTCTGCTCCCCTGCAGTGTCCCATCTACAGCACCCCTGAAGAAAGAGTTAAACCCCCACACAGAGGTGTGTAAAACCAGTGATCCAGGTGCTGAAGGCCTCTTCTGCCAGAGGATCCCATTTCAGGGCAGCTCCGTGTTCTTCCCAGCTGTTTCAAAGCCCTTAATTCAAATTACCTTCAAGTTAGAACCAGGGTCAAGCTACACCCACACGGTTCCCCCCCTCCACTGCCACCCGATACGGATGCACCCAGCTCGGGTGGCAAACAGTGAAACCAGAGATGGGCATCACAGGGAAAAGAAGGTCCTCGGACCTGTTTACACACCTCTAAGTAGGCTGGTGTGAGCCTCGGGTCTGGTTCCCTAAAAGTGGCACCCTTAGGCTCGGGTGGCAAACAGTGAAACCAGAGATGGGCATCACAGGGAAAAGAAGGTCCTCGGACCTGTTTACACACCTGTAAGTGGGCTGGTGTGAGCCTTGGATCTGGTTCCCTAAAAGTGGTGCCCCTAAAAGTGCCTGTAGATGCAAAGCCCTAAAACCCAGAGCCCCTAAAAGTGGCCGTAGATGCAAAGCCCTAATGTCTGGAGCCCTTAAAAAGTGCCTGTAGATGCAAAGCCCTAAAACCTAGAGCCCCTAAAGTGCCTGTAGATACAAAGCCCTAATGTCTGGAGCCCTTAGAAGCAGCTGTAGATGCAGAGGACAAAGCACAACCCCCAGCCTCCCCAGCCCCCCTTGCCTAAAAAAAAAAAAAAACAGACCAAAAAAATCTGGTTCCTTTCCTCTCATCTACCTGTAACGTGAAGGTCAGGCTTTTATCTCTTTCCCACTCCCTCGCCCTCACCATTTGTCACCTCCAGGGGTTGATCAAAGCTCTCAGCTGGGCAGTTCTCCCCTTTGCCACAGCACATTCAGTGCTGGGGGCACGGGGGGGCTCCCCACACAGACCCAAAATGAGATCCTGGATGTGATGCCACGGCCAGAACTGCTGCTCTAGGGAAGGCAGTGAGATCCCTGCAGCGAGGACAGCTTGAGGAACGGGAAGGACATCTGGGTAAGGAAGCTCCCAAAATAGACGTATCCCAGCCCCAAAATAAGAAACGGGACCAGCAGCAAGAGGAGTTTGCTCCAAAACTCAATTATGGAAGTATCCACTGGCCAGGCAGCCTCACATTCCTCCAGCTCCAAGAGCTTCTTGCAATTTCTGGAAGGATGGGGTGATGACAATCCTTCCTTCTTACACAACGGTGTCCCGGTGTGTCCCCCAGGGGGGCAATTAACCCTGGGGCATCTCTCCATCAGAAGGGCTCACAAGCAGAGGTGCTGCAGGGTCTCTGAGCTCCACACCACGAGTGGAGCTGGAGGAAAACACCAGCAGCATCCCCGGGGCAAGGGCAAAAAGGTGAGAAAGATGAGCTTTGCTCCACAAGGTTGCAAACCACTGTTTTCTGCAGCAGGTTGGCCGGGAAGCCATTATTTGCAGGCACGTTTAATGACAAGGCTCTACAGGGGGTTATTATTAAAGCTTCCCCCTGGTCACTGGGCAGGTTTTCCCCCCCCGTGCATGGAGCCTCTGGGGTATTTTCCTCAGCCTGAGGTGTTTGTGCAGGGGTTCAACGCAGAAAACCCCAGGTGAGGACGAGGTGAGAAGCAGCTCACACAGGAGGAGTAAAGGGGGCAACCAATGTGCCAGGAGTCCTCGGAATAAAAACCCAGTGTGATGGAGCTAAAGGCTCATCCTGGCACGGACCATACCCCTGGGACACGGGGAGGTGGCAGCAAGGTGACAAGCTGCGACAGCAAGAGATCACTCCTCATTTCACAGGGAAATAAGCTTCGTTTTGGGAAGCACCAAGAGCCAGGAATGGTGATTCTCGCTGTACATCTCATCTTGGCAACACAGGATCCCAAAGACCTCACCATCATCGTTTTCCAAGTCCACTTTTCCAAAGGAAGGCCCCAGGACAGGCACAGGGAACACATTTCCCAGTTTTTCAGAGTTATAAGGAGAACTGCTGCTTGAGGCACAAGGAAAAGTCAAACACAGCTTCTAAAGCCTCATGCAGAACGTCAACACAAGAAGAAGGTCCCGCTGCTGCTGCTCCCCCTCTTCTGCCAGCTCCATGCCCAGAACACTGGTATGGGACCTTGGGACCAGACTGGTCCCCAGTCACAGGTCCCCACTGCCAGTGGCACCCCCAGGACATCCATGGCTCTCACCTCTGTAGTGCTCCATCCTGGTGTGGTGGGTGATGCCCTGAGACCGAAAGCTGAGGCTCAGGATGTACCGAGGGTCAGAGCTGTCTCGGACCAGAAAGGACCCATCTGGCTTCCCCTTCAGCTTCATCTCCGCGTCCTCCCAGTTCATGGGTCCCCAGTACCACCCGCACTAGAAGAGAGACAGAACATCAGCCAGTGCTAGCCAGAAAGGCTTTTATCAGCAACCAAACTGATGTTAATTCCCTTTTAAATGCCAAAAAGTGGAAGTGTCTGGTTGTATCCGCCCAGGAATATGGATGGTGGGGACTTGCTGGATGAGAGCACATCATCATATTCCCAGAAGAAAGAACAGATGAGGCTATAAAAGCCCTTCCATGCACAATAAAAGCTTTTCTAGACTCAAAGACCTAACTAGGAGAAAGGCAAGAGGGGTTTTTTTTTCAGCCCTATCCTAATGTTATCCTCCCAGTTCTGTAAAAAGGGCAGACGGGACCCCAAAACCAGTGCTTGGACCCTTTTCCCAGGTCTTTTCACAGCCTTTTCCCTCTGGCTACCACCACCACCATCCCCATCCCTGTTACCTTCTCCAGCTCCCGCAAACTGGCCGCGAAGCTGCTGGAGTCGGGGCGGTAGAGGGGACACTGCAGGTGTGGGGCGGGCTGGCCCGGCATCGCCTCCGTGGGTCTCAGCGGGACGATCCGTGGGAAGGCGTCTGCGGAGGGAGAGACACGGTCACCCACAGGGAGGTCCTCCACCCCCGAGGACAAACCACCCCCTTTGAACAGCTCTGGAGGTCAGGCGGGACGATCCGTGGGAAGGCGTCTGCGGAGGGAGAGACACGGTCACCCACAGGGAGGTCCTCCCCCTGAGGACAAACCACCCCCTTCACACAGCTCTGGAGGTCAGAGCAGGAGGGCCAGAGCTGCAGGAAGACGGGCTGATGGATGGAAGGACAATGTCCTCCTGAAGGACACAGTGGGAGCCACCACCTGGCTCTTCCAAGGTGACCAATTCGGCGCTGTCACCTTATGCCACCTTGGAGGGAAGAGCCAGGAGGCACGGGCTGGAAGGTACGAACACACATCTTGAGAAAGGGGCAGTAAAAACCCTCTGGGTCGTGAAGGAAACCAAAAGCGAAAGAGCAAATGGGCAGGAAACCTCCTTGGGTGCCGTTGAGCAAGACCACAGGCCAGGCTGGCTGTCACAGCTGAACCCCGCGCCCACAACTCTCCCCTGGCATCTTATGGGACACAGCACACGTCAGGGTGGGCTTCCCCCCAGAGGAACCCAAGAAAATAGGAGATGCTGAACCGAGGATAAAGCTGGTGCCATCAAAAGCTTCAGCAAAACAAGCCACACCAGGAGGAAACCAGAGCCCTGGCACGCCGGTACCCGAGCAGGCAAAGCGGGCAGCACCGCTGCTGTTAAAGCCCAAAGCGTGGCCCTAAAGCTTCTAGAGGGAAAAAAAAAAAGTCCCCAAAGTCGAGCTCCCTGGAGGGAAAGGCAGAAAAGGCAGAGCTTGGCTGTTAGAGCTGGGCTGACCTGGGGCATGGGGCGGAGGAGGCGGAGGCAGAGGGAAAGACTGCAGGGAGGAGCCCATCGGACCCACCAGCACAGACGTAGGCAGCGTCCCACTGATATCATCTAGGAGAGAACAGAGGCAGAGAGACTCGGAAAACAAGGAAAGGCAGCTCCGAGAGCAAGGCCCCGAGAAAGCTGGTGCCATCAAAAGCTTCAGCAAAACAAGCCACACCAGGAGGAAACCAGAGCCCTGGCACGCCGGTACCCGAGCAGGCAAAGCGGGCAGCACCGCTGCTGTTAAAGCCCAAAGCGTGGCCCTAAAGCTTCTAGAGGGAAAAAAAAAAAGTCCCCAAAGTCGAGCTCCCTGGAGGGAAAGGCAGAAAAGGCAGAGCTTGGCTGTTAGAGCTGGGCTGACCTGGGGCATGGGGCGGAGGAGGCGGAGGCAGAGGGAAAGACTGCAGGGAGGAGCCCATCGGACCCACCAGCACAGACGTAGGCAGCGTCCCACTGATATCATCTAGGAGAGAACAGAGGCAGAGAGACTCGGAAAACAAGGAAAGGCAGCTCCGAGAGCAAGGCCCCGAGCCAGGAGAGGAGGAGATGGAGCTTCCCACCCCAGGAGAGGAGGAGATGGAGCTTCCCTCCAACAGCTCCCCATCCTCCTCGTGCTTCTGGCACCAGCTTGGCCCCTCACACCCATGGAAGAGAGTCTTTTCCAGCCCAGCTCGCTCCATGCAGGCAGTTTGCAGCACGAGAGAGGCATTTAGAGGAGATTTCACAGCCCCGGCACATGCAGTTTAAGGTTGATTTCATCCATCCAGAGCTGCCCTGGCTCCTCCAGAGGAGGATGAGGAGCAGCTTGGCCTGGCTCCTGGTGCGGCAGAGGCCCCAGTCCCACCAGTTAGAGAGCACAGAAGGGAACTGGCCTCGCTGGACAGTGGATAGGAAAGGGGAGAAGTTTGCCCCAGTCCCACCAGTTAGAGAGCATAGAAGGGAACTGGCCTCGCTGGGCAGAGGATAGGAAAGGGGAGAAGTTCCCAAAAGCAGCAGAAACGCCATGAAACCAGCATATCACATCCCACCTGCACCGCTCCACCACCACCCTCCCCTCCTGGCTGATCCACTGAAGCCTTCAATCAAAAGCAGCAGAAACGCCATGAAACCAGCACATCACGTCCCACCTGCACCGCTCCACCACTACCCTCCCTCACATGGGACTGGAAGATCCCCTCTGGAGATCATCCAGTCCAACCCCCTGCCACAGCAGGGCCACCCAGAGCAGGTCCCACAGGAACGTGTCCAGGTGGGTTTGAATGTCTCCAGAGAAGGAGACTCCACCACCTCCCTGGGCAGCCTCTGCCAGGGCTCTGCCACCCTCACAGCAAAGAAGTTCCTCCTCATGTTTAGGTGGAACTTCTTATGTTCCAGTTTGTGCCCATTTCCTCTTGTCCTGTCCCTGGGCACCATCCTGGTGCCTGGAGCCTGGCCCCATCCTCCTGACACCCACCCTTCCAGTATTTATAGGTGTTGATCAGATCCCCCCTCAGCCTTCTCTTCTCCAGACTAAAAAGCCCCAAGTCCCTCAGCCTTTCCTCATCAGAGAGATGCTCCAGGCCCCTCATCATCTTCATAGCCCTCTGCTGTGCCCTCTCCAGCAGTTCCCTGTCCTTCTGGAACTGGGGAGCCCACAACTGGTCCCAGTGCTCCAGATGGGGCCTCCCCAGGGCAGAGCAGAGGGGCAGGATGACCTCTCTGGACCTGCTGGTCACACTCTTCCTGATGCCCCCCAGGATGCGTTGGCCTTCTTGGCCAACAGCAAGAAACCCTCTGCAGGGGAAGGTGACAGAGATATTATGGGGTGGGACAAGCAGGCAGTGAGCCCAGGGACCCTTGGGATGCTCCTCCTCTGCCCCCACAAGGACAGACAGACAGTTCCCCCACTCCCACAGGGACACAGGGCAGAGGATGCTCTCCAGGACCATACCTAGCAGGCTGAGGCTTCTTCGTGGTGGCGGCGGCGGAGTCGGAGGGTGAGGGGAGGTCAGTCCTCGCTGAGAGATGTCCACGTCCACCAGTGACACCGTTTCACCTGCAGGATGGTGGAGCAGACTGTTAGTGCGGCACCTTCTGTGGGGAGGCAGAGGGAGAGGGGAAGGGGCAGGAACCTCCGTGGGGTTTGGAGGACAATCTCAGATGTTTTCAAACCAAATTTCCCAGCTGCAACGCTTTGGGGACATTGATGGACTCCACAACTGCAGCCCAAAGGTCAAGGAACTTTCCCAAAAGGGAATGATGTATATAGGTTCCTGTGGCCAAACCCTGTTGGGAGTCCAGCACCAGGAGAACGTGATGAAGAAGACACTGGGAGACCTTTCCAGGGCCTTTCTTGTTCACCAATCAGAGCTCACTAATGGTGCAAAGCACCAGCACTTTGTATAACGCTGGGGAAATGGTTTCACAGCTCTTTGCTGGCACCTGACTCAGACGATGCTCCTGTTAATGCCTTTTTTTTTTTTTGCCTACCAATGCCTTAGATCATCCAACACAAACACCTCTTACCCGAAAGGCCACGAGGGTACCAGCTCTTAAAATTAATTGCATGGAGCTAGACAGGCTTTTACATTAAATAACCGGAATTCACTGAAGCCAAAAGGCTTTGGATCCAGAATTGGGGAAAATAATGACACAAATTAAGATGTGTCAAGGCCGGAAAAAGCTTAAAATCAGTCTAAAGATCATGGGAGAGAAATGAAGCCACCAAATCAAGGTCAGAGCATCAACCTCAGAGTCAACTGACACAGAGTCGAAAGGAAAACACCTAAAGAGAGACCCTCAGTGGCATTACCACCACCAAGGCAATTTTTTCCCCACCAAAAAAAAAAAAAATCACTCTAACCAGGCTCTGATGAACCAACAACAACCACCAAACCATCTCGAACACTTGAACCACGGGTCTCAAGGACAAGGAGATGTGGCTGCCTCAGATTTCAATTCCTGTGGGCACTGAAACTCCTCTTCTGCTCCAGAAAACCCTGCGCGGCGTCACCCACCCCTGGGTAAGTCCCTGGCAACGTCTTTACCATGAACAACACAGGGCAAGACCCACTCGCCCTCCCTCTGCTTTTAAACGTCCCATCTGTTAATAAGCTGCATTAAGAGGAGTATTTAGGGGTGGTTATTATCCGAGGTCCCTTCTCCCTGGGGGATTTATGGGTGTGAGCGCACACGTGTGCCCACAGGATGCTGCTCTTTCATTTCCACGCCCTAAAAAAATAAAATAGTTGGGCTGCCTTTGTCCCGTACAAATAAAACCAAAGCCCAGGCTCGGAGGGGCTGAAGGAACTGCCTTCCAGTCCTCCCCACGGCAGCAGGAGCCAGCACCTCCAAGAGGAGAGGGAAGGAGAAGACAACCTTCCCAAAGACCCCCAGCTCGCCCCACACACTGATCTGAGAGCAAACCACCAAGAAATTAATGGAAATTGCACCAGGCACTGGAATTCTGTCCCATTTCGGTGGTCCCAGGCTCACAAAATCCCCTACACAGGGGCAAAAACCTCCCCTCTAGACAGGGGCAAAAAGCACCCCCCTCTAGACAGGGGCAAAAAAACCCCAAACTCTCTAGACAGGGGCAAAAAAACCCCAAACTCTCTAGACAGGGGCAAAAAAACCCCAAACCCATCCAGGGGAAAAATTCCCCCCCCCCCCCAGAGGGGCAAAAAATAAAAGCCCCTCTAGACAGGGGCAAAAAACCCAACCCTCTAGACAGGGGCAAAAGAAAAAACCCCTCTAGACAGAAGCAAAAAAACCCTACACATGGGCCATTAAAGAAACCAGGAACCCAGCAGATAAATACCCACTTGTGACCTTCAATTCCAAATCCTGGAGATGGGAATCTCCCCGGGAAGCCCCAAGGACAGTTCTGATGTCGAGTCCACGGCACAGGAGGCACATGACCGTGACCAGGAGCTTTTTTGGCAGCAGAGCTTTCAGCCACCAGCAGAGCAGGACTTCCCCCTCGCACCATTTATAAACCGACCAACTTCCCCCGCCCCCAGTAGAAAAGGGAAGGTCAGAAACCAGCAGGACATGGGGAGAGGGGAGAAAGAGGCAGAAGAAAGGAGGTAGGACCCACAAAAGAGGTTTCAATTCCCACCGGTGTCAGGCAGCAGAGCCGGTGGCGTTGGGGCACGGTCCCCCTTGATCTTAGCCCTTCTCAAACCAGGGGAGGGGACACCAAACTGCATTCCATCCACAGGGGATTTCCAAAGCACTCGGAGGAGGGACCTTCCCCTCTGAGAGCACGACCCAAACTTGCCTTTCAACAGGAGGAATTGCAAAACACCAACGTGCAACAGGCACGTTCTTTGCAGCTCCTCCGGCTCGAGGTTTGAGGCCAAGCAGGACAGAGGGACCCATCACAGGTTGCACGTGGAGGCAACTTTCAGTGTCTTATCATCAAGCACACGGTGCTCCTTCCATCCCCAAATAAAAGGCCTTGCTGTGAACCTTCCACATCCTTACCTGTGAAGAGGGGGCTGAACACAACCGGGGAAAAGGCACTTTGAGTTCTCGTCAGTCTGTGTTTCCTATTAAAAAAAACACACCCCACATATTGTTAGAAGAGATGAGGAGATTCAGCGCATCCCACCAGAAGAAAACAACACCCTTTGACCTTCTCAAACCAGGAAAACCTTCCCCATTCTTTACAGGAGCTGGAGACAGCTCGAATGCTGCCTGTTTATTCAGCTCCTGGAGCTCCTGTTGGCCTAAGTAGGGCAGTCAACCAGCAAAGCTGGGTCTCCATCCTGCCGGGGAGCAAATCTCTAACTAGGTAATTAATAAAAGTCTTTGGAAAGAAAAAAAAAAGAAAAAAAACACCCAAGCAAGTATGGTCACCGGAGCCAAGAGGCTGTTTCACAACCGACATCAGGCTCCATCGCTGGGTCAGGTGTTGCCAAACGCCTCCCACAAACAGGTTGGGTCCCGGCGCAATGAACGCCTCCGGCGAGCACAGGGAATGCCCTCGCCCTGCTTTTGGAGGATGCCACCCCCCTTCTCACCCCAAAATGGGTTCCAAAAGGCAGGTGAGGGGCAGGGGAGCTAAACCCGGAGCCGTCCAGATGGGTGGAAACAGCTGAAAACGCGCCTCTGACGGAAAATCCAGCAATACCAGTAGTTTGCTCTCCAAACTGGTGGTTTTGTAACAACGCCAGAGCCAGCCCTGTGTTCTCCTTCACAAACCATCATCCCAGCGCCTTCCCCACTGCGATGCCAAAGGGCTTTACCCAGATCCGGGCAGAGAAAAGGCTGGTAAACTGAGGCACGGGGTACAGCACCCCCAGGACTCGAATCCCTGGTTGGGGTGAGTAGAGAAACGCATCTCCAGGGCTGGAATCTCACTCCCACCTCGGAGGGGACCCCAAGGACAAAGCTGAGCCTAAACAGACCTCTCGGGGGCTGCAAATTTGACAAAGGTCTTTCCAGCACGTCCCATCCCAGCACTGGGAAGCCCCGCATTAGTCTACTGGTCTGTACTGGGAGAGACGAGTCAAATAGTGCAACTTCCCTGTGCTGGCCAGAGAAACTGGTCCCATTGCACCCAGGCAAGCGACCACACCACCAGGATCTACAGGAGGTCAGAGATGAGCTCTGGTGGCCACCCAGACCACCCCACTCCCACCACTACCTGTGACAGGGGTGACACCTTTCCTCCTGATGTCCTCCTCGCTCTCCAACACCCTCCCCACGAGAGGTTGACCCTGAACCCCTTCTTGTGCTCCAGACCCTGGCTCTGCCCACAGTCACCTGTGAAACCTGGACAAAGCTTTAGACAAAGCTCTGAGCAAGGACAGTCACCTTTCAGGAAGGATGACACCCATCAGACCCAACTCCATCACCCTACAGGGAGAAAACCACGAGCTCCAGGCTCTGGGTGCACCCTCATCTTCTCAGGCTGGACCCTCCCCACGAGAGGTTGACCCTGAACCCCTTCTTGTGCTCCAGACCCTGGCTCTGCCCACAGTCACCTGTGAAACCTGGACAAAGCTTCAGACAAAGTTCTGAGCAAGGACTTCAGGAAGGATGACACCCATCAGAGCCAACTCCATCACCCCACAGGGAGAAAACCACAAGCTCCAGACTCTGGGTGCACCCTCATCTTCTCAGGCTGGACCAAACCCTTCTCTTGTTTGTCCAGACACATCACTGGGTCACCCAGCTGTGATTAAACACTTAATACTATAAGTCTGCAAATAAAAATACTAAGAACACTCATCATCCCGATACATAAAACCTCATTAAAATATTTGGAAGGGTTTTCATGCCAACATTTTACAGCCTTTGATTTTGGGGAGCTCTCCTTTCTCGCAGGCTCACACCAGCAGCAGGGGAGAGAGCAGGAAACAACTCCCATGGACCAAATCCTCCACTTCCCCAACTCCATCTCCACCAAAACGACGTCCTTCCATTCTTCCTCCTCCAGCCCTCAAGTTCTGCAGCAATTTCACTGATACAACCATTAAATATCCCCAGACAGGCCCTGGGTGAGAAGCCCCTATTGGTATCTCCACGTTTAGCTCCTCAGCCTCTCGCAGCTCAGCAGAGCCCAGTTATTGATTTTAGATAAAGGGGCTGGTTTCCTTCCTCTGGGATCACCACCGGCACGGGAAACTCAGCCAGAAACGCCCTCAAGTTCTGCAGCAATTTCACTGATACAACCATTAAATATCCCCAGACAGGCCCTGGGTGAGAAGCCCCTATTGGTATCTCCACGTTTAGCTCCTCAGCCTCTCGCAGCTCAGCAGAGCCCAGTTATTGATTTTAGATAAAGGGGCTGGTTTCCTTCCTCTGGGATCACCACCGGCACGGGAAACTCAGCCAGAAACCCCAAATACCAGGAATTCTGCTGCTTGCGGATGTTTAAAAAAAAAAAAAAACAAAAAAACAACCAAGAGCTGGATGAGATAACACCCACCACAGATCGAGGGAGCATCCTCCACTGCCAGCCTGCGGAGATTCGCGAGGCAGGAGTAAGAGCTCGATGGCAAAAAGAGTCATGAATTAACCCAAAAGCCGCCCTGAGCCACCTCCTCAGCCACGGGGAACACCAGATCCATCCTATATCCATGGGGGCCACACGCTGGGTGGCAACAACCTCCAGCTCTTGGCAGAACCAAGGAAATGTGGGGTTTGGTTTGGTTTTCCCCCCCACTCCCAGTCAATCGATGCCAACGGGTGCGAAGCAGCCGATGGCGTTTGGTCAAAAACCACAGCAGAAAATGAAGTTTCTGCACAATTTCTCCCCGAGCGGAGGGACCGGGGCACCGGGAAAGGAGAGGGAAAGAAAAGTAGAGTCTGCTAAAGCCCAATATTCACTTCCCAGCAAGCCCAGCTTAGCTCAACCGCATCCCAGCATCCCAACCAGACCCTGGGACTGTCCCCTCCGTGGCAGCACGGTGGCAGGAGGGACGCTGGCACCAAGCACATCCGTGTTCCACCAGCACGGGGGCAAAAAAACCCCTATTGTGTTCCCAGGATCCAGACTCCTGGAACTGGAAGCATCCAAGTTGTCTCCAACCCACCAGAGTCACCACATCAGACACCTTGAAGTAACCTTTGTTAAAATACCGCTTAGTTAGCACGACACCGGAGCACGAGAAGTGACCACGAAGGTCCCCAACGGTGCTTCTCTGCTCCCAACCTGCTGAGACACGACCAACGAGGCTCTCTCACCCCATCCTGGGAGGTCCCGGGGACTCCTGGCTCTCCTCCAGCACAAGGATGGAATAAACCCCAAGCCCATGAGCCAAACACCGGGTCATTCCAGGGAAACTCCAGGCACCACCATCCGAGGCCCCTTTAGTCCTTTGTGGGGAACGAAGCTGTTGAATAAACCTGCTTCACCAACCCCCCCAGCAAAAAGCCAAGCTCCTTGTGGGCACAGAAGCTCTGGGGAGGACTCAGACACCCCAAGAGGCTTCAGGGCTGGGACCTGACACAAAGATTTCCATCTCAGAGCCATCCCCTGCTTCAAAGGGGAGGTAATTTTGGCTTCCGCTACGTCCTGGCTGCCTTTCGGGCTGCTGAGGTGGCCTTGTCACCCCCCCTCCAAGCCAGTGCCATGGGGTCACACCTGACCCAAGGTCACTATCTCCAGAGAAAGTTTCCCGCTCATCCCTCAACAGGTCTTCAGCCCCACCGAGGAGGTAACACACCCCAAAAACCATGAGCAAGATTGATTAACCCCACGGGGAAAAGGGCCGTGCTGCAGCACCCAGAGTCCATTCCATCACTGAACATGGCTCCCGGGCTGGCTCTCCCGCCTCCTCCACTGGGAATTTCAGTTCTGCTGCTGGAAAAGCCACACAAAGTGGTTTCTGGAGCACAGGAGGCCCATCTCAACCTGAGCCGGGGCAGCCCTTCACCCTCCCCAGCTCGTATCTTCTGGTGGAGCAGGGCAAGGAGAGCTGGTGCTGGTGGAGCAGGGCTGAGGAACAGGGTCCCACACCGACACCAGGACTCATCCCTCCAGCCCTTCTAACCCACGACCCAGCCAACCTTCAGCTGCCAACACCTCCTCCAGCCACGGAGCACGGGGAGAGCGGAGCCCCCACAGCAGCACCCACCATCACCCAAGACCTGAGCCCAACCATGATGGCCCCAAAACCTCAGGAAATCATTCGGGAAGACACAGAAGGGCAAGAAGCAACACCAGCCCCTGGGATCCCAGCGTGGTGTCACCAGCCACCGCTCCTGGGACACGTCACCTCCTCCCTCAGCCGGTGCCCGCAGCATCCCGGGGGTCCAGCGGCTCCTCCGAGCCACCCAGCACCCACCAGCCCCCGTTCCAGGATGATGCTTTTCCACCATCTCCTTTGCGGATGCCGGAGCATCCCGTTCCTCCTCCTCCTCCCGCCTCTCCAGCTGTGCTCCAGCTGTGCTCCTGACCCCGCGTGACAGCGGTGGCCTCAGAAGCTGCTCAAGGAGAGGGACGGTCACGGTGTCCATCAGGGGGGTGGCACCCACGCCCCACAGCCGTGCTCCTCCATCACGGCACCGGTCTCCCTCCTCCCCCCCGGTGCTGGGGGGCCAGGCCATCACCCCCCCGCCTTTTCCACCGGTGACAACCCCCAGCTCTGCCACCAACAACCCCTGTCCCATCCCTCCAAAAACCACCA